CACACACATATATATACACACATATATGAACTATCCAGATTTTAGCAAACCTAGTATGTCAGTATAAAGGCAGTTGTTATTTTAGAACAAACTCAGTAAGACAACCGTAACAGGACATGATTCAGCATACACTTTAAAGTATATTTCAAAAGAGCTTTCAGATACATCTATTCTTTCAATTATATTTGTAAAACAGAGGAATAGAACAAAGAATAATCTGATGCCAATTCCTGCTTTTGGACATCAGAGTTGTATCTGCAGTAGATGTATGGCTCTTGCCTCACAACAGATTTCTTTGGATTGTGTTAGAAAAATGCACATGATTGCAGTGTGTCTTGTGTGTGTATTCTAGAAGAAAAATATTTGAACCTTTTTTATGTGTTAGGAAACAGAAATCCTCATGAACAGCTGCTGAGAGTTTGAAGGTTCTCAGCTGACAAAGGTGGAGATCTGTGCAGATGCCTGCTGGTAGCAGGCAAAATTTCATACCTTTTTGAGTTCAATCTGAAAACAGATCTAATTGTATAATCAAATAAGTCAAAGTAAAAGCATTTTTCATGTTCTTGCTACTTTATTCATGCTCATTTAACTGGTTCATTAGGGGGTGGTCAGACAGCTGCAGCAGGAGCTTGCTGATGCTCTTAAGAAGCAGTCTATGTCAGAAGCTTCCCTTGAAGTTACTACACGCTACCGCAGTGACCTGGAGGAAGATAAGCTGCGCTTACAGAAGGAATTGGAAAAGGTTAAAGTCAAGGTACATAATGTCTGTATTTATATGAATAAATCTGAGGGTGGCTATTGAAAGAAGGAGTAGATACTGTCCCCTCATTGGCCCTGCTGTAATTTTCCATCCTTAAGTGGTTTTCTTGCATGTGAAGTGTAAGCTTCTTTCTGAGGCACAGACCACCTTTCACAGTGTTCTTGCAAGAACTGAAGTATAGAGGCCTCAGAGTGCTAAAAGAGAAGTCGTGTTAAATCTCCTTATGAGAGACTTGTGAAATTTCTGTGGGAGAAGGATGAATTTCTTCATTCATGTTTTCATGGAGGAGCAAATGAGAGGGGACAGAGTGTCCTAAGTCACTGAAAGGGCCAGAGGGACAGTGTTAGTGCATAGAACTGTGCTGTAGGAAATCACTGGAGGGATGGGAGAGGTTTCTATTAAAGATGACAGCGTAACACTGTTCATGTTCAGTGGCTAGTAGACTTGAAGCTTTGAAGGTACTTGAAACAATTACAGTTCTTTGGGCAGAGGGTATGTGCAGATATATGCAGCCCATGAATTCTTTGGCAGCAGCTGACTCTGCTGTATTAAAGCTCACCTGACAACTAGATTCTCACTGTGATTTTACAGTTGCGGGAGGTGGAAGAAAAGCATCTTCAGTCTGAGCATTGTGTTCGTGACTTGAAGACTACCTTAGATGATAAGGAAAGAGAAGCAATAGCTTCCTTCCAGAAACTGCAGGACCTCCTCTTGGCATCTTCAGAGACAAATACTACTATAAAACAACTGGAAGAACATGTGCAACAGTAAGAGAATAACACAGTGAGGCAAAGTGCCTGTCACTTTCGGGGATTAGGTGGAACCAACAGGATAGATAGCCTTGTTGCATCACAGCAAATTAATACATGATTTTGAAGGATGCTGTTTTTCACACTGTTCTTTTGGAATTGATGCTCCAGTGGATATTCTGGTACTAAGACATGTGTTTCTTTTTAAGCCTTGAAATTGAAAATACCAGATTGGAAGCCACAGTCCAGCAACAAAGCAATAGGATTGAAGCCCTTCAGAGAGACCTGCAAGCCTCTGCCTCAGTAAGCTGGTCCTAAATTTTCCTTCTGTGACTCCTGAGCCTTGTTACGTATTTGTGGTGAAATTTTAAGTGAGGTTTTCCTGGATAGTCTAGGGTAGCTCTGTTTCTGTATTCTACTGAATGGAGTCTGCTTAGAAAGCAGCCTGCTCCACTCCCCAGCTATTCGGTTTTGAGAGTTTTCCTATGCTTCTATAGCAAGGCAAACTTAATACTCCAAAAGGTAAGGATTTGACAGTAATACACTGATTTAACTGTTATCTGCTCTAGACCTGTCATAACATCACATGCTGCTTCAGCTACTTGTGATGTGTTTCATTTAAGGTATTCATCAAGTTAACCTGTGGAAATTCCACAGGATATATTGATGCCGAGCCCTTTGAGCCAAAGGCCTGACTGGTATCATCAGACTGGAACAAAAATTTCCCTGGAGCTTTTGCTGTGCAGAATTGCTTTTGCTGTGCAGAATTGCTTTTCCTTTGGCCACTTGCTATGTGCCTGTTTTCATGAAACAATGAGGAGGAATGTCTGGTATCTGCAGGACTCAGTGCGAATCTTGGATTTTCTCACTGCCTCTACACAGTGGTTAACTTTAGCTCAGATAAAGTGCTTACATCTGTGGCCTGTACAAAGCAATTTTTTGCATTGTTACCAGTGAACTAGGGTTCGTACGACTGTAGCTGTCAATTAGCTGAAGAATTTTTGAAAAATCACATGTGAATGTTGGACTTTGTGCTGTACTGATACTGTCAAGAGAAGTGGGAAGGCAGAGATAATGCTAGTCCTTCCCCTTTGTTTGGTAGGTCATGATTTTCAAGTGTACTGGGGATGAGAAAAGCTACTTCTGCGTGTTTTCACTGAAGATTATTTATATTCTGTGTAGTCTTCTCTCTTTCTTGTTGCAGCAAATGGCAGAGGTGATGATTGCTAGCAATTTAACAGTGACATCAAACTAAGGCTGTTTTGATCATTGGTGCTGGGTGTATATAGTATTGGAATAAAGAGGTGAAGAGTTGTACGTAATATTTATTTTTGGTAGTGACGTGTAAACTTCAATCTGGAAAGTCATAGTATGCCTTCTTGCTTCTGGCAATGATTCTGTAGGTTCATAACCGGCTGGAAGAATTGATAACTGGATTACGGACAGCACAGGTAGCTGCAGAGGACCACCACAAGCAGGTGCATAACTGTTATGAATTCCTGATTTAGTCTTTGAATTTTTTGTGGGTAGGTAAGTGATGAAAAGATCAGGTGGACTGTGGTGGCAGCTGTCAAATACCTGTCTGGTTTTAGGACAAGGCACCCTCAAGGGAAAAGGCTGTGAATTTCCTCATTTCCCTGCTGCTGTGTTTTGTATCTGTGTTGTGGTGTGCAAGATACTTGTGTTCATCAGCATGATTCATCTGATGAATTCTATTCTGTGTCCCATCTGTGGGGAGTGAGCAAGTGGCTGTGTGATGCTTAGCTGCCTATGGGAGTTAAACCATAACAGATGATGGATGTTGGTGGGTATTGTGGACAGCGGGGAGGTCACTGGTTGAAAACTGGGAGAGGAGACTGGACATGGGAAACCCATATTTTTGTAGCTTTGTCAGAGCTAGTCTTGAGGCCATGTTAGTTTCTCTCATAAGACCCAGGGTTTCACCTGCTCTGTAAGAACACTGTCATACGCCCTAAGGATTTTTTTAATCTAGGACTGTTCTAAGGCTGTTGTGACTTTCTCTATCCAGTGGACATATCTTGGGATGGTTTTTTTTTCCTCCACCACCCCCCACCACCCCTCCACCTCCCATTAAAAAAGTACTACTGAAACCATCTAGTCACCTTAGAGTCTTTAAACTTGAACTAAATCAGCAAGTTCTGTTTAACTCAAATGCATCTGTTAGGCAAGTCTTTCTCCCTTTAGGTAGAACTATAAATAACATTGCAAATTTAAAACATTTTCTTGTTCTGAGAAGATATCACAGAAGCCATGAGGGCAGGGTATTTTCTATGGTGGGCACTAAAGGTATTATTATATTAGAAAGTATGTGTCGTTATGAACTCTGGAGGACCTTTGGATGAAAGCTGCAGGGTGATTTTTTGTATATGTGTGCACATACCTTGTTATTCCCCAAAGTTACAACTTAATCTTGTCATTCCCAGAGTGTTCATTCTTTCTACCAGCTTCTGTTTCTCCTCTTGGTTATGTTTCCCAAGCTGTTCTACACTCTACATTAACCTTAATGATAGACCTTGGATGGGGAGAGGAGAGCTTAGGCCAGTTTCCATTTAAGTTACTGATTTCTATTCCAGTATTCTTTCCAGTCACCTTAGTTTCTTCTGCCACTGCCGCTCTTACAGGTGCAAAAGCAAAATGCACTGGCTCTGACATCAAACGACTTGCAGAGCATGTGGGAAGAGCAATTTAAGTCAAGATCCAGCCTCGAGGAGCGTGTTGCTCAGCTTGACAGGGAAAAGGCAGAACTCTTTGAACAAGTAAGTCCAGAACATTCTCAAGTGACCTAGCCTGTACCTGGGAGAACCATGTTAACCTTTTTGTCAAGTTCTTATATAAACAGCTTTATTTATTATCCCTGCCATTTAGGCTCTGAGTGTCTTGTGATTTTGGGACTGTCTAGGAAGCAAATGAAAGCTAAGTGTAAATTTGTATAAATTCTGGGGTGGTTCTGTTTGGAAGAGTTCACAGTATGGTTTGCTATTAGTTCAGGACATCAAGGATAGCTGCAGTTCCCCAGTTCTTTCTTGAATTCCTTCTGGTCGTCTCCTGACCTCTTAGTTTCTGGGCAGGATTGTAGTGCTTCGTTTATTCCAGTGCGATTCATGGAGGAGCGGTAGCACATATTCAGGTTAGGGGATGCTTAAAAGCCTTGCAGAAAAACATAGTGAAGGAATTCTGGGCAAATGAACTAGTGCTTGAGAAACAAATAGCTGACAGTTGCAAAGGAGCAGTCCTTCCCTTTTCTCCTTTTCTATAGAGGAATAATGGAGGTACAAAGCAACAAGCACATGAGTAAATCTCCAAAAAGAAGTGGTGGAGGTAGTGGCAGAGGGGAAATGAAACATAGAAGAATTCCAAAAGATCAAATTGCTCTGCCTGCTGGGCATTAAATATCCCACGAAAGCTTTAGATTGATCTGTATTCTCCTGTTATGAGCATACCGAGGTACTCCATGCTCTGAGTGGAGAACTGACAAAAATGTTGTCCAGCCTCTTTTTGATCTTTTTTTCCGTGAAGCATTAGAGGAGGGTGACCTTCGCTTTAGTGGAGGCATCTGTTTCTCTTGTTCAGTATTGGCCTGTTTGACGTGAAACCTAAGGTGATTAACTCTTCTCAGGAATTGTGTCCATTGGCACTCTATGGAACTTGGCTAACACGTGGACATGTACTGCAGCTTCTCTGCAGAGAACACTAGAGGCACATAGTGCACAGAGATAACTGTTCTTATGCTCTGTGCCCTGTATCTTTTCTATTTTGAAAGTGTGAGAGTGAAAGAAAGAAAGTGAAGAAACTGGAAGGGTTGCAACGCCCAGTTGAACTGCGTCTGGACCAAGAAATGAAAAGAAACTTAGAACTTCAG